TCTGTCTATCTGTGTGTTAACAGGGTCTCACTTTTAGCCCAGACTGGACTGGAACTCACTGTGTAGACCAGGATGGTCTCAAGTTCACAAAAATCTGCCTGTCTTTGTCCCCAGAAAACTGGTGTTAAAGGCGTGAGCTACCCTGGCTCAATATTTTGATTCTATAATAGTTCGTATAAGAACACTGCTTTGCATAGCACAAAATGGCAGAAGTATGTTAAGGACCATTTTGGAAATTCTGTTCTAATTCAAAGATAAAATGAATTTAACTATTTTTAATGAAACTCAAGCCAACAACTCACACAGAAATTTTAAAATTAACTCTTCTGACACAACCTAACTCAAAGACACACTAATATGACTCGTATATGCTGAGGAATGATGGCAGGAAAACGTTAGTCTATTTTACAAGGCATGGTGGCACACACCTTTCATCCCAGCGCTCAGGAGGCAGAGGCAAGTAAATCCCTGTGAGCTCGGGGCAACCTGGTCTACATAATGAGGTCCTGGACAGGCAAGGCTACACAATGGACCGTTATTTAGAAAATAATATTATATAAGGATATATATCCATATATATATATATATATATATATATATATATATAGAGAGAGAGAGAGAGAGAGAGAGAGAGAGAGAGAGAAATAGGATATATAATTATATCCCATAAGGATAAAAAGGTCTCCCTTTTTTTGTTATCAGTTTCTAAAAGAGCAGAAAGCTTTATATGCCTAGTAAAATCACTGTAGCCTATACAGTAGTCTCAAATCTGAGCCAAGTGTTTCAGGTGTCACTCACTGGTGTTATGTGACATGATGCCACACACAATGCCTAGTGCACATGTTGTGTGTTGAGAACCAAGGCAGCAGCAAAGTTTCGTGATACAATACAGGCAAGTATGACCAGAAAAACCATCCCACATTGGATTATGAATTACTTTTTGGTCATTGTGTATCAAGAAATCAGTGTTGCCAATTTTTTCACAGCTCCTACATTTAGGCCTATGACCTCACAGGAAGTTGAGGACTGCAGTTTAAAAATCTGAGATCTAGAGAAACAGCATGTATCAGACAGAGACCTCCACAAACGATAGGGATGGGAGCATTCTGGTGGTAGAGAAACAGGCTGAAAAGGACCTTCGATGTGAGGCACAAGTCTGGACAGGGCACCAGAACTGCCTGCCTGACTCCAGCTAAAGGAAATAGATGGAGTCATCTGGGAAGTATCTGCTCACAGCCCCACCCACAGCCAGCTGACTAGGCACCGGGCTGGTCTGGCTTCCAAGAATGGCTTTTTTCTCCGGGTGATGTAAATGCTGCCACCTGACCAGGCAGAAGGAAAGATGCACATCTTGTTACCCAGTGAGTCCTGTGTCATAGAGGAAAAATGCCATAGCCCAATTATGGCTTTCCCAGTGGGATAACTGGCCATGAATCATCCTCTGAGGAGAATGGATAGTCCTGAGAGAAATCTGAAGGTTGATTCAGGAAAGGCTATCAGAAAGTGGAGACCAATGACAAACAGGATAAGCTTTGGAATGGTGACTGATGGTCTGTGCCTTGTGATGACAGAACCTACTCGGTACCTAGCACAGGGCTAGAGGAGTGGAGGAACCACATGTGATCCCCACCCTCCTTAAAACAAGAGTACGAAGGAGACACAAACATGGGACTCTAAGGGTCCTCTCGTGACTCCGAGGACACAATCTGAAGGAAGTGCGTGTTTATCGAGGTCAAAGTCTGGAGCTTTTGTTTATAAACCCAGATGGACAATAGAAGCCAGCTGGGAGCAGCCTGCCAGGGCAGGGCAGCTGTTGGCATTGAGAAATTCCATCCAAACACAATGATATTAGAAAGGGGGAGGGGCAAAATCACACCCCCCAGTTCAGTGGTGAGAAAAACAGAGATGTTCAAATGAAAGGATGTCAAACGAGAGTCCTGAGCAGCACTCCCCCAAACTGTCAAGGTCATCAAAAAGAATAAAATTCCCAGAAACTGTCACAACCAAAATTAGCTGTGAAAACATGATAACTAAATGCTATATGGTGTCCTGAAAGGAGTCTTGGGGTGCGGTGGGGGTGACTGACAGACATGGATATTAGGTAAAAAACAAGGGAATCTGCATAAGCTATGTATGTTAATCAATAATACTTCACCTGTTTTGGTCCCCTTACTATAACAAGGGACCACACTAATGTAAGATGTGATGCTGAGGGGAAGGGGAGCAGGTGCACAGGAACTCATTGCACTGGTGTCTTAGTTTCTTTAAGTCTAAGAAGAGTTGTAAAAACTAATGTTTGTTTAAATAAAATGGGTCAAGCATGGTGGTGCATGCTAGAAGTCTGGTACTATGGAGACTGAGGCAAGAAGATGGAGAGTTTGATGCCAGCCTGGGTTATACAGTTAGAGAGAAGAGAAGGAGAGAGGGAGGGTGGGAGGAAGGGAAGGAGGGAGAGAGGGAACGAGAGAGGCGAAGGAAGGAAGGAAGGAAGGAAGGAAAGAAGGAAGGAAGACTTGGGGGAGGGGAAGAGAGGGGACGGGAAGAGAAGGAAAAGGAATGGGAGGGAAAGGAATAAAATACAGATGGAGAAAAGGGCACCCATGAAATCCGCACTGTTCCGTTCATTTCCTAGTTGACTTGCTTCCCCTCCACTCCTCTCACGAAGATCCACAGGTTCTGACAGAGACCAGTGTCTCAGCTTAACCTGGGCCTTGCACAGGGTGTCAAACTATTTCTTTCCTTCTTCCCCCACTGCCCCCACACGCCACAGGTTACAGAGCTGGAACACAGATTCTTACCCCTGTCTAGCTGTTCACTATCTGTCCTGCCCATTGGTCCCACCTGCCCCCTGCACACCACAATCCCTGCTCCAGGATCTCTGCTAGTCCTAGCTGCTGCCTGCCTTCCTCCTCCAATGCCTACTACTCAAGGGAAAGGGTCATCCCTCCACGCTTGTACCCTTTCACCTGCCAGGATCTTCTCTGTGCTCTGCCATCTGGTTTTGTAGCCTTCCACCTGTCTCTCCCTCACTAATTGCTCCAATTATTGAACAAGTGTTAAGCTCTAGGGACCTCATGGGATTGGTCCACACCCTTCTGGAATTTCCTTCTCCCCTGAGGCTTTCTTGACCTTGTGGCCACTCTCTGCTCTCCCCCTCCCCCCTTAACAAATCATTACCGGACACCTGCACACAAGAGCATTGCTCCATCTGAACCCCCAAGTGCTGCCCTCCTGAAACGTCAGCTTCCCACTGTAAGCCTCAGTTCTGAGAGCCAGAATGGGACCTGTGATATCTGTGGATCCTACAGCATGCTTGATACCTAGGATACCTTGTGGGCATCCAATTTCTGGCTTTTTCAAGTGGAATGCTAGTTTTTGTCATTCTAGCCTTCATTAGTTTTGAACTAATGAAATGTTATAATCTTATAGACATACTATCCTCTAGTTGTAAAACTGGAATATTCAGCACTCAAACTTTCTAATATCTTTTGGCTTGTGGGTCTGTCATTAATCACTGTCATTCACCTCAGTAATGTCCAGTACAAGGTGCTTGGCATACATTGGTTTCCCTTAAGCTACTAGTAGCGTGTGTTATTAAGAAAACCAGCTCAGTGGGCTAAGAGGTAGAGGACATCCTGAGTTAAACAAGCTCACTGGGGGTCTGTTCTGCGGATTAGATGCTGTAAACCGCCAAGAAGAGAAGATTTCATGCATCATTCCAAAAGGAAATTTACTGGGACCAGTGCTTGCTGTGCTGATAAATGTCTGACAACTGGCTATGCAGGGAAAGTGCAGATGTGAAGAACTCGCCAATTTCATAGTGTAAATACTCAGCCTTCAGGCTGGTGATGTGCATCCCTGAAGGCAGAGTTAGTACAAGACGTACGCGGCCATACCCCATTCAGTATCGCCATCATGCTCACACAGGAGACACAATAACCTCAAAGAATGTGGCTAAATGCAGTAACATAGTTAGAAACATGAATTCTGTGTATCTTTGCTTCTAACATGTTTTTATTAGTTACACATCTATTGCTGTGAGAAAATACTTGGACAAAATCAACTTCAGGAAGGGGAGGCTTAATGGGCTCACAGTTTGAAGGTATAATCCATCATGGTGGGGAGGTTGGCAGCAGCATCCACAGTCAGGAAGCAGAGAGATGGATCCAGCTGCTTCACTTACTGTCTCTTTTTTATTCAGTTCAGTACCCCAGTCCATAGGGTAATGAATGGCACCCATATTCAGGGTGGACCTTCCCATTTCTGTTCATGCTCTCTAGAAAAACCGTAACAGACACATCCAGAGACATGTCTCCTAGGTTGGTTCCAAATGCCCAAGTCCTAGGTTGACAAACCATTCATAACAATGACTTATTTCATTGCGTGTTCAGATCATTTAATTTTTAATGTAGCCACATTTAACAGCCAGATCACACATATTCTCCAATTCTAGCCAAGCCTTCAAAGCCGTGTTGATATGAGCCAGCTCCAGTATATCACTGGCATGTATCCCTTTTTGCATGGGGCAACAAAGGAAGCCAAGGTTTCTGGTGCCCCTTTCCAAGTGGGCGGCTCCACTCATGAGTACAAATCAACCTTAGAAATTCAATTAGCTCCATTTTACAGATGAGATAGTAACAATCAGTGTCTTCAAAAGGACAGTGATGACCTTTATTCCCCAGGGGCAAGTGCCTCACTGGGTTCCAGGCACCATTCTAGGCACTGGGCACAGCTGAGAAATGCCCATCACTGCTTGCAGTGACCCAGTGAAGAAGACCTCACTGGTGACCAGTCAAAAGTTCTTGTTTAAGACCTCAGTGTCACAGTTAGGATCCCTACACAGCACTACACATATGGTCTTATACACAAACATGCACACGTGCATTCAGACATCCCCATGTGCACGCACACACACAAACCTGCACAATCATGTGTGCACAGTCACAAATGCAAGCTGCCATACCTCCCATTCCTAGCTCATGTTGTCTGGTCTTTCCCAGATCAAGTCCAGCGTGAACCGTAACAATGCCAAGTATGTGCTCCGAGGAGAGTCCGCTGGCACAATCTTCCGGGTCAGAGCTGACTCAGGAGATGTGTATGCCTTTGAGAGATTAGACCGGGAAAAGAAAACTGAGTACTTCCTTACTGCCCTCATTGTGGACAAGGAGACCAACGTAGACCTGGAACAGCCTTCCAACTTCACCATCAAGGTTCATGATGTAAATGACAACTGGCCTGTGTTTACACGCCAGGTGTTCAACGCATCTGTGCCAGAGATGTCAGCGATGGGTATGTGCCTAGTCTGCCCTCTCTCGCGCCCTCTCTCTCCTCCTCTCCTCAGACCAGCCTGAAGGCACTCCTCACATCAGCCAGCTCACTGCCTAGAGTCAGGATCCCGTAAGTTCAAGGAAGTGGATGTAATGCTGTGTTGCCTCTTTACATGGTTTCAAAATTTGTCCCTAAAGGCTAACCTTTGACCTAGTCCCACACTAAACCCTCACCATCATCATAGATGGGTTCTGATCCGCATCATATGCTAAGCACTGACCACCCTGATCTGGGCCAGATGTCTGGGCCCTGACCCTGATCCCAGACTGTGTCCTCACACCAGATACAGGCTTAGGCGGCACTAGCCTGTCCTCATCCTGCTTCCAGAAGGTTCAGGAAAAGAGTGTCCAGGATCTGTGCTCAGGGCCCTGGGGCCAGACTTTTCTGAGGGAACCATAGAACTCCAGAGGCTGAGAAATGTGGTCACCACCCCTCTGGAGGCTTCCCAATACCCTTCCCAATCCCACATTCTCTCACCTTCAGACGAGGCAAAATCATCCAGAACCCTCCTAAGTTTCTCTTTCAAACCCAAAACATCTTCCCCTCTTCATTTTTCCTGTAACACACAAACCATCTGTTCTCTTCATACCCTTCATGGCTGATCTGACTGGGCCCTACCATTGCTGGTACTTCACCCTCACGACAGCCCCCCAGCACAAAGCAACCTTTCTTCCCTCAGCTCGGGTGGGAAGAACAGCAGAAACCCATCTACTCCCACCAGGGAATGCGTTGAGGGCCACTCATGAGCAGCTACACCAGAACTTTCTCTCCACAGGGACATCTATCATCCGTGTGACGGCAGTGGATGCAGATGACCCCACTGTGGCTGGCCACGCCACTGTCATGTACCAAATCCTAAAAGGAAGCGAGCACTTCACCATTGATAATTCTGGTTTGTATGACTAGCCCTTTTGGGTGGGTACCTATTTGGAGAGATTTGGGGACATGAATATTGCAGGTGCCAATGCACAGGGACCAGCTATTGATCCAAGGAAGGAATACAAAACACACATAAAGACATGTTGGGGTAGGTTAGGAGAGGGAGCAGACAGGTGCCCAAGGCATGCATTCAAGTCCAGAAAGAAAAGCAGGGTCTTTTCACCCAAGCAGAGACCAGGACTCAACAAAAATTCTGGTGGGAAGGTCTCTGTACATGTTGAGAGACATCAGATTCAAACCCTGCACTGCCACTCAGCTCTACAGTTCTTGGACAAGTCTATTAGTATCTATGAGCCTTACTTCCTTTGTCCAGAAAATAAGAATGCTCATAGTCCTTTGTGCAATAGCTCTGAAATCTGAATTAGATTATGCACAGACACAGTCATGCTGCATAATTTTTCATGCCTTGTTAAGAGAAAAACTTTAGACCAATTAAATTTTATCAAGTTTAATTTTGCAAAGAACAGTTCACAAATTGGAACACCCCAGAAGCCAAACAAGTTCAGAGAAACCCCAGGGCTCCCACATAGTTGGGTGATATTTATAGTGCAGAAGGAAAAAAAAAAGCCTGCAGTCTAGAAACAGCTCAGTTGGTTACAGCTGGGGTGTCTGCCTTATTTGAACAGCTTTGAACAGGTGGCAGCCTATGATTAACTGAAGCACAGCTGCTGTGATTGGCTGAGCATACTCCTAAGTTAGGGGGTTGGTTTATTTACACACTACTAGGTTGCAGTTCATCAGAGAAGGATTCAAGTCTGCAAAGCACAGAAGGCTTCTCAGGCCAAATTTGGTTCAGTTTAACACATTTGAAAAACTGTAAGTATTGAGTCTTGGAAGCACGAAAGAAGGCCAGTTAGACAAGCTAGGCCCACTGTCTTCCAGAAGATGAGCAAATACACAGTGCAACTGATACTTCCATGTGCACCAAGATAGACATCACTAATCCATCACCGTTCTCTCAGCACTAAAAATTGTAGTCACTTCTATATCTGTCAGGACAGACATCATTAATCAAGTACAGCATTCTCAGCACTAAAACATGCCACAGCCAACCACGTCAATTTGTACCAAGGCAGACATCACTAATCCATCATAGCATGCTCACTCTGAGCCTGCAACTGGCCTTATGATATTTCTCAACATAAGGCTCTCTCTGGCTAGGAACAACTTGGACCCTACATTTGGCCAGCTTTTAGCCATACAGGGCAAGGTATGGAAGCAGTGGGCTACAGTCCTGAGGCTCTCAATCTCAGGTGTAGCGTGGAGTCCCCTATGTTTTCTCTAGGAATGATTTGGGCATCCAGATTTCCTCAAGGCTCCTCAGATAACACAATTCCTGTTGGGCCACTTTTTTTTCCAGGACTCATTTTGACAAAGGACAAAAACTTGGACAGAGAGACAAAGGCTGAGTATAAGATTGTGGTGGAAGCGCGAGATGCCCAGGGTCTTCGGGGAGAGTCGGGCACAGCCACTGTTCTGATCACGCTGGAAGACATCAATGACAACTTCCCCATCTTTACTCAGTGTAAGCTCCTCTCATAGAGCCTTAAGTAGACGGGAGCTGGGACAATCCAGACGCAGTGATTTTGGGACTCTCAAAAGGGTACCCCAAACCTCTCTACATCTCCCCACATCCCCAGGGTGCTTCTGAAACCAGAATATGGAGACTCTGCTCCATCCTTGTACATTGCTCCCAAGGTCACCCAACTGTCCACTGATGGGTCCCTTCACAGACCAGACAAAAGTCACACCCCTGCTGATGCCACTACAGTGCTTCAAGTCCCACTGTGAGAAAGAAGCAATTTCACCCAGATCCCATAGGTTTGGGAAACCTGGCCTCTGAGACCGAGGGCCCAGCTATAAAATCCCAGAAAATAGCGGTACAACAAAAGCCTGGCGTAAACCTACCCACAAAATGATTTTCCCCTTAAAAACCATGTCAAGAACTTTTCCTGTGCCCTGGGGGAGATTAGGAAGGAAAAGTTAAGTGGAGATGTTCATGGTACCCTCTAGCCCTGTTGTAATTCTGGCCTCTGTTGCCCCCCCCCCAAATTATCTAGTTCTGAAGTAGCTTTGTTGTATATGGCATAAGCTTCCTGAAGGCAAGATTTGTCTTTCTTGTCTATTGATGTTCCCAAGTACAGAATGAGCTTAGTACCTATTTACTGGGTTGATGGAAGGATGGACAGAAAGACAGAAGACAAAGCAGGCCTCCTTGCCTTGGGACCCAGAATCCCATGGTCATAAGTTTCTTGCCTGTTTTCTGTAGCAAAATATTGTATGATACCCAGATAAGGCAGTACATGCCTGTGCCTCCAGCAACAAGAGACAGAAGCAGGAGAATTGTAAGTTCAAATCTAGCTTGAGCTACAGAGCAAGCCTCTATCTCAAAAGTCCAAATAGTAGGGGTATAGGTCAGTGGTAGAGTGTTTGCCTAGCCTGGGTAAGATCTTTGGTCCAATTTCTATCACTGTGTGTGTGTGTGTGTGTGTGTGTGTGTGTGTGTGTGTGTGTGTGTGTGATAGTATGAAAGGACAATTGTCTTATTCATCTCATTAACTCATTGTGGTGCTCTATGCATATCAGCCACATACACATTTACGGTGCCTGAAGACATCCGTGTGGGCAACCCCTTGGGCTTTCTGTCTGTCATGGACCCAGATGAGCCTCAGAACCGGATGACCAAGTACAGCATCATGCAGGGCGAGTACAGGGACACCTTCACCATTGAGACAGACCCCAACCGTAATGAGGGTATCATCAAGCCTACAAAGGTATGTAGACCTGCAGTACTGAACCCATTCATGGGCCATTGAGTTCACAGCATCCAAAGGACACACTCAGGGGCTGCTTCTGAGCCACAGGCCATTGAAAGAGAATGTTTCAATGTTATACAGCTCAGAGCCGGTCATGTGCTCACAGAGACTCTAACCCAACATCTTAGGCTGAGTTGTTCCAGAAATAGACCAGGAGCAAGGCTTTGGGTGTGAAATGTTTATTTGGGAAGTAATGCCTGCAGGCCTCAGGGGCAGTGACAAGTGGCAAGAAGGTAGCTACTCCTGAGATCACTGATGAGCAGGTACAAGTGGGGCCCAGTCCCATGGGGGCAACACAGAGCACATCTCAGAATTGCAGCTCTGTGTTTATCAGGCACTGGGGTAAGCAGCCACAAACCCTGCTGCGCTGACAGAGAGCACTTGTTCTAGAATCATTTCTGTTGTTATGATAAAATTATCTTGACCAAAAGCAACTTTTGAAAAGGGTGTATTTGGCTTATAGTTCCAAGTTGAGTCCATTAAAGAGGAGTCACAGTGGTAGGAGCTTGAGACAGCTGGTCACATCACACCAACAGTCAACAGCGGAGAGAAATGAATGCACTCATACTTCCTGTCTGTGGCTTCAGCTCTCAGCTAGCTTTCTCCTCTTACACAGTTCAGGACCAGGCCTAGGGAATGGTGCTGCCCACAATGGGCTGGGTCTTTCTACACTAATTAACAGTCAAGACATCCCCTCCCCCGCCCGCCCCACCTTCCACTCCAGACAAACCCACAGGCAACCTGATCTAGGCAATTCCTCCATTGAGGTTCCCTTCTCAGGTTATGGGAAATACAATTCCAGGTTATATGGAAATTTGACATTTAGAACTCACCAACACAGTGCCCACCAGCATTAACTCCCTGTGTCCCGGCCAGTAGAAATCTCCCAGCATATATGTAAAGAATGTGCACCAGAGGGCACAAGGGGCCGTGGACAGAGGCTGCTGCTGGCAGCCAGCAAAGTCAGACTGACTGAATCCAGAAGAAGAGGGAGAGGAGCTTTGGTACTTTCAGAAAGTTCAGGTAGAGGACTGGGAATATACACACAGCCACCAGAATCCACAAAGCTCTCAGACAGTGGGGAAGACAGACAAACAACAACAGAAAATGTAGCTGGTATGTTCAGGGCTGTGCAAACAATGCCAGACAGGAAGCAGTTACCTCTGTCCCGAGCGGCTTCTGAGAGGGTTGTATCTTACTACTTACCTTACTAGCAAAAATTGTCATTCCTCAAGACAAATAGGAAGGAATTTGCTAGGCAGACAAAAAAAGGAGAAGTCTCTTAAGCAAAACCATGAAAGATACTCCTTTGAATAGAACTACTAGGCTATGATCCCCTTGAGAGAGGGCTGGGGCTGTGTCTATCCTTAACACTTAGAACAGGGCTGGGGACGGAGGTGGGGCCAGTAAGATGAAGTGGATTAATGACCGCCACCATACTTGCCACCCACGCAGCCCCTGGACTACGAGCTCATCCAGCAGTACACATTCTACATCGAGGCCACGGACCCCACTGTCAGACTAGGATACCTGAGCAGCCCTGCTGGCAAAAACAAAGCCAAGATCACCATCAATGTCATGGACGTGGACGAGCCCCCTGTCTTCCAGCGACGCTTCTATCACTTCCAGCTGCCGGAAAACCAGAAGAAACCCCGGATAGGCACTGTGGTGGCCAAAGACCCTGACAAGGCTCAGCGCAACATTGGGTAAAGAGGTGGTGGGCATAAGGTGATGGTGGTGTGATGGTGCTGGCACGGACATTCTTATGGATGTCGGAGAAGGACACTGGCTTCTCCCAACACCTTCATGGAAAAATGCAGAGGCTGGCCCTGGCTCTTTCCACTAACACCCTTGTCCTTACCAGCTCCTATGATGTCCATCTTGTCTGGTCCAGGCCATCTTCTGTCCTTTGAAGGACTTCGGACCATGACTCACATTGGTCCCATCTAATGAGGCCTGAGAGTCAAGAGAGCAATCAGCAATGGTATAATTGAAGCCCCATCACCAAAAATAGTTTAGAAATTAGTCTCCCAAAACACAAAGCCAGAAGCGTTGCTTTCACTTGGTGAAACCATACAAGTCCACAAAGAAATTTGCGGTAGCTCCTGAGTTCATGGGTGGGCTCAGAGTGTGCGTTCCTTCGTGACCACACCAACACACAGACACACTGATGCTGAATTCGTTGTTGTTGTTGTTGTTCATATTCTTGCTGTCATTTGTTTTGGATGGTGTCCTGCACATTTCATCAATACTTGTTCCTCGTTCATTTTCCATGGCTATAACTTCATACCATGCTGATGAACAGCAGAGCTGTTTATCTTAAGGATCAAAAGGCTTGGAAATCCAAGAGCACAGTGCCAGCACCTGATTGCCATTTAATGAGGTCTTTCTTGCTGCCACATGGTGAGGCATAATGAGCTTGCTAGTATGTGTCTTTCTTTGTCTTCTTAGAAAGCCACCAACCCACCTTGGGGACCCTACCCTCATGACCTAATCTAATCATTATTACCTCCTAAAAGCTTTATCTCCAAATACCACAAATACATGACTTTGTGGATACCATTTCTAACACATGAACTTTGGAGGGTGTGGAATGACACATTCAAACCAGTGTCCTTGCTCATCCGCCCTAACTAGATGTTCCTCCTCTACCCTCTGGGACAAAAGGAATACATAGATCTGCTCAGACTTCTTGGAGTCGTATAGTATTTAGTAGTAAGCATGAATTCAATCCATCCTTATTTTACCCCACACATGTAGCCAGCTCTGTCAGCCCTGTTGACTTGATGTCCTTATTTCCCCACTGCTTGGGGTATATTTAAGTTCTTACATAGACCTGACTCTACCTTGGAATTGCCCACTCTATCTGTTCTTCTGTGGATTTCTGCTTTAACAGAACAGCTTTCTGCTGAATTTAATCTGTCTAACATAAGCCCTTCTCTCCCTTTTTTTTTTAAATCCAATCTGAAATGACCATTCTTACATGTGAACATTTTTTTCCTTTTTTTATGTAGCACACATTGGCCTTGAACTGCAATAATCCTCCTATCTCTGCCTCTTGAGTACTGGAATTACAGGGTACATTCCACCACACCTGACTTCACATGAATTTTAATATACTTTCTTAAAATATTTATATCCTAATGAGATTTTTTATTATTATTTATTTATTCCATGTGTTACGCGTGGTGCACACCACAGCACAAATGTGGAGGCCAGAGGTAACTTACAGGAGTCAATTCAGCTCTCTCCTTGTACCACGTGGGACCCAGAGATTACAACTCAGGTCATCAGGCTTGGTCATAGGTACCTTTGCCCACTGAGCCATTTTGATGGCCCAAGAACTGATTTTATATATCAATTTTGGAAAATCTGTTTTGTTTATTTACAGTTCTGGGGTAGATCCAGGGCTTCACAAGGCACTCTACCTACTGAGCCACACCCCTAGGCCTCTTTTATTTCTTTTTTTTTTTTTTTTTTTTTTTTTTTTTTTTCATTTTCAGACAGGGTCCCACTAAGCTGACCAATCTAGCCATGAACTCACTCTATAGGCCAGGTGGACCTTGAAATTCTGCCTCAGCCTTATGGAATGGTAGGCCTGCATCCCCAGGCCTAGCAGTGCTAGGTTTTCTTGTTGAGAACAGAGCAAGCCTCTCCGGGTTTGGTACATCTCATGCATCTGGGGGGCACTATTTCACTGTCATTCTATTCCACGTGGTTTATAATTCTATTTTTGGCTGTTTCTTTGATTGAAGACTTTATCTGAGAGGTTGACTGGGTATTGTTTTATTTTGCTTTTCTTTTACTAGTGGTGGAGGGATTGGAGGGTGGTGGAATAATATGTCCTGCGATATAACACAGTTGTGTTGTGTCCATTTTTTAAAAACTGAAATATCAATAGTTTTATGTATTTTTAATTTTTTCTGACCAGTTAACTAAGATTTACCACTGTTTCGCCTTCATTATGTCTGATAACTTCTTTTTCCAGTGCAAGGGATAGAAGCCAGGGTCTGTGCACACAGTGCTCCACAGCTGAGCCCAGGACTGTAATATTGCAACCCTGTGAACTTGGCCAGTTTGTTCTGCTTACCCTTCTGGCCCTCAGTGCCATGCCACACGATGTTAAGCTTGCCCGTCCTGTTTACATGTTATTTCTGTTTGATAACTGCTCCAACTTTTACTTCTAACTGTTCTAGATGATTTGACATTAAGCTGTCTCTTGAAAGGAGCATGCAGGCAGCCTGGCTTTGTCGTCCCAGCAGAGATGCTTTGTGTTCAACCTGCTTAGTGTTTTGTTTGTTTGTTTTGTTTTGTTTTGTTTTGTTTTGTTTTGTTTTTTAAGATGTATTTATTTATTATGTATACATTGTTCTGTCTGCATATATTCCTGCTCACCAGAAGAGGGCACCAGATCTCATTATAGATGTTTGTGAGCCACCATATGGTTGCTGGGAATTGAACTCAGGTCCTCTGGAAGAGCTGCCAGTGCTCTTAACCTCTGAGCCATCTCTCCAGCCCCTGCTTAGTGTTTTCATCATCTGTGCCACCTCTGATCTTACCTTCCTTGTTTCTTGTCTTATACTCCTGGTCCTCAAATCTGATAGGTTTCCTCTTGCTCCTCATCTTAGCTACAATCCTTTTCTTCTCATAAATATTTGACTGGAGATTTACTTCTGTCTACAAAATCTTAAATGTTTTCTAGTTAAACACATCACTCAAACATTCCCCAATAACTTTGTTTCAATTCCTTCCAAGCCAGGTTCCTACTTTTGATTGAGAAATCTCTTAAAATTTCGAAACAGTTTTTTTCTTTGCAGGAACAGGACCTATCTTTATGAATGATGTATTACCTAAGTTCATATATTTACAAACTGTGTGTGTGTGTGCGCGCGCGCGCGTACATGCATGTATGAAATCACTTTGCCTTCTTATTTTAATAGCACCTGATGCACTTGTGTCATCTTCAGATCACAGACACTTCTCTTCACAAGTCCCACCAATGTGTTTTAGCATTCACCTTTGTGGGAACATCTGTGGGACATCTAACTTCCCTCTCTTCTTAGGGAATCTACTTTTTTGTTCCTGGGACTCTGAACTCTTCAGTCTCCTTACACAGCTGGGACATTCAAAGGACTATCAGCACACACCTAACTATTGCTAGATTTTTCTAGTTATACCCAAATATTGATCACATCACTGTAGACTCAAGCCTTCTTCTTATCAGAAAATAATTCTGTTATTATACGTTGTATTACTTCTTCTGTTTTATTTGTCATGGTTTCTCAGTAGTAGCAACTATCTTCACACACACACACACACACACACACACACACACACACAGGACGAATCCTAAAGTGACTTCTCTGTCATGCTGAGGACTTTGGAATCAGCAAAGGACACGGAAAGACATGAACCTCTTTCTTCCGGACAGATACTCCATCCGCAAGACCAGTGACAGAGGGCAGTTCTTCCGAATAACCAAACATGGGGACATCTACAATGAGAAAGAACTGGACAGAGAAACCCACCCCTGGTACAACCTGACTGTGGAGGCCAATGAACTGGATTCTAGAGGTGAGGGCCTTCATCTTCCAGGCCATCTGGGTTCTTCTTTCCTCTCATCCTTTCAAAACTCACATGATTCATCATTTTGAACCTCCAAAGGTATTGCCAGTCCCTGGGGAAGCAGTCCATGGCTGGGGTATGTTGAACTTCCATTTCTGAAAGTGCTCCTTGGACCAGCATCTTATAGAGCACCCACAACCTTGTTGGGGTACAGAATAATAGGATACCACCCTAGACTAACTGACAACCTCATGCACATCGTAGTTCAAGAAGCACTATGTTAAAACAGGCTGTTCTGGTGCCTCTGTGATGAGACTCACCAAAGTCACATGCTACACACAGTTTCTGAGGGTTTGATCCAGGAAACAATGATAGGATAAAGGCTGTGCCTGGACCAAATGCTGCATGACTCTTAGTATTAAATGCACTTAGCAAACACTAAGCTATATCTACACCAATTAAAGAGGTAACTGGTGTAGATATAAATAAGAAGCAGCTCTCAACTAGAGATTGTCATGTTCTGCAACAATTTGTGTAAATTCTGACCAATGCTAGGAGAATTATGACAATCACCCAGCAAAGAAGCATTCACTTTCCTATGGCATCCAGGTCCCAAAGGGGTTCCTGAGAGGGGATAACATTTTTTAAATGAGTACATGATTATTTGTTCAATTGTATTTTAATCAGTTGTATTTGTTTGCTCGATTTACTTACTAATTTAATTACACCTTCTTAAGATGCACTGAAGGCGTTTAGCTCTTGAATTCTTATAAGCAAACTTGTTCATATATGAAGGTCCACCCGCGTGTCCTCCTCCACACTCTTTGGATCCATGACATGATCCTTTGCCCTGCAAAAAAGTGGCCTCCACCACACAGTGCCCCAGGACTCTCCCTCCAAACATCCTCCAGCTCCGGAGGCCAGTGTCAGCTGGGCCCACTGTAGTGACAAGCTGTCTCTCCTGCAGGTAACCCCGTAGGTAAAGAATCCATTGTGCAGGTTCACATTGAAGTCTTGGATGAGAACGACAACCCCCCGGAATTTGCCCAGCCCTATGAACCTAAAGTGTGTGAGAATGCAGCCCAGGGCCAGGTGAGTTGGCCCCAGGTTGGTGAGGCAGGGGGAGGGCAATGTGTTTTCAGGCAGAGGGCTGAGGAGCAAACCTTCCTGTCACCTTGAGTTGCCTCAGTTTAAAGTAACTGTATAACAGCCTGAATAAAATACTAATCACATTTTACAGAAGGAGAATTTAAACTCCTGGAAGTGTCTGAAGACCAGGTCAGGGATAAGTGTGAGCAGGATAGCAGTAGACAAAGTGGCTTTGGGAAGACCATTCAAGATAGTGCTGCAGGTGACAGACAGCCATGGTCGTGTCTGAACCCACCTTTGCACCCCAGGATACTACCCCAAAACCACACTGACCATTTCCCATCTCTCACATTCCAGCTGGTAATACAGATCTCCGCAACAGACAAGGATGTAACGCCACCAAACACAAAGTTTAAGTTTGCCCTGAAGACCGAGGACAGCAACTTCACCCTCATCAACAACCACGGTGAGCAACAGAGCGGTCAGCTGGCTCTTAGAAGGTCAGAGGTGTCAGTTAAGAGTCTCAAAGCACTAAGATCAAAGACTAGACCAACACGGGGTGACAGGTCTCCACGGGGTCTTTCAAGTCATGGGTTATTTTGTACAACTCTCACCGTATACATTATACAGTTGGTTGTGCTGTGGTCAAAGCCACCTGGCCAGGCTTCATGGTCCATGGGACATAGTCTGTAGGGTTAACATTACCCTGAAGAGGCTTCACTGAAAAGGAACACAAAATAGATACAGGGAAGCAGGCAGCCAGCTCAGTCCAAATTATCCAAAGGCCCCTTCTAATACTGGAATTTCAGTCTCAACAAAACTGCAAACTTTCATATCATTCTAAAGGGCCCAAACTGGAAATAGGAAGTCATGAATCCCAACAATGCAATGAGTTTTATTGCAGTTCAGCCAGCACGAGTATTTATCATAAAGTGGTCCCTGAACAGGATCTGGTCCACCAATCACAGCATAGCATAGCACATCTGTTCAGCCAATCAAAGCCCAGGGAGTCTTGTGAGGTCAGGAGTGTCCAGGCAGAACTCTGGTGAAGATGCATGTATTAGAGTGATGATCCTGGTCTGGTTTACTTCCATCTAAAAATGGCCAGGCTTCCACAGCCTCTGTTTCCATGGCCTTTGCAACATCCTAAGAAAAATAGACACCCTTGGGTGTGAATATAGCAACTGTTCACACAAACATGGGAGGAAATCTCCCTGTTCTGGGTTGATGACACCACGAGGGCCCCTTACAGAAACATCCCATTGTCATCTTTGGAGAAGATTAGGGAAGAGGGTCTTCAGAGTGAGGGGCAGGTACAAGCCATCAGCCACAGACCCATCAAACAAGATGAATACCATGGCCTACAAATGAGGAAGGTAGCTATGTGGTGCTGACAGTTAATGATATAATTCAACACTTAGAAAATAACATTGTAAAAATACCCATCACCCCATTTCCAATGTGTACCTCAAATGAACTAAGTAGAATTGGGATCCTACAACAGACTGGGGAATTTAGGAGCTACCCCAAACACACATCCTGCAAGAAACAGAAGGCAAGCCTGTTGGTCTCAGAGTCATTTGCATACAATGTCCTGCCTACCGGAGTCTCTCATTTCAGTCCCATCATGTGTCAGTGGCCTGTCGTTTGTTCTCAGTTACAATAGCCTTTAAACTGAAATGTAATGTAAATTATGAATAATGAGATGAAACTGGCTTTCATTTTAAATTCTTGGCTTTTGGCTGGTCTTGTATGTGCCCATCCTGTATGGAAGTAAGTCCTCTAACCGTTGGTGTTACAACCTCCCAGAAACCTACAAAAGGCAGACCATCAGTGCCCACAGTCACTGAACAGCAGCAGCAGCGTGTGCGTGTGCGTGTGCGTGCGTGCGTGCGTGCGTGTGTGTGTGTGTGTGTGTGTGTGTGTGTGTGTAAGGGAAAGGAGGGGTCTGAAAATCAGGATGTTCAAGAAGCTCCCCAGAGGATGCTCCTGTGCAGCAAACCAATGATCAGCACTGGGGGTTGGGGCTATTGTCACAGAAACTGGCTCTTGGTTGCAGAATACCCAGGGACACCCTCTCCCAGTGACAAATATAATCAGTCAGTGCCCCTGGGAACCCAGGCTAGTGTTTACAGAATAAACCTCCTTTGCAATGATTCAGAGGCAGCATAAAGATGTCAGCCTAGCACCCAAAGTAAAAGCATTCTTTTCCCAATTGTGTGTGGAAGCTTGAAACTATAGAGTAATGAGCTGAGCACAAGAGAAAAGGACCTGATATCGGGGTGAGATTGGATAAGGGGGTAGGTATACCCATTGACCACAAAAACAGAGTTGGGGTTATATTCTGACCGAGCCATTCTTCCAGGCTGGGTCAAAGCAGCTGCTCAAACTACATCCTCTGCAAAGGGACAGGCCTATGCTCAAGGGGCTGAAACATGAGGCAGGGAGCAAAGAGGGCAGTGAAAGTACCCAAGAGGAGGCAGCTTCCCCCCTAAAGGTGCAAGAGTGCCGATGCTCCTGGTAGAGCCTCACTTTGTGGTCCTGATGTTTCCAGACAATACCGCCAACATCACAGTCAAGTATGGGCAGTTTGATCGGGAGCATGCCAAGTTCCACTACCTACCGGTGCTCATCTCTGACAATGGGGTGCCCAGCCTGACTGGAACCAGCACGCTAACAGTGGCTGTGTGCAAATGCAATGAACAAGGCGAGTTCACCTTCTGTGAGGAGATGGCCGCCCAGGCAGGCGTCAGCATCCAAGCGCTGGTAGCCATCTTTCTCTGCATCCTCACCATCACAGGTCAGTGTCTCATGGGACAGGGAAGAGACGCTGAGAAGGCTTCACAGAAGAGGTGGGGTCCCAGCCCAGTCCTGCACCACCCTGGACCTCATGCTTCCTTGTACAGGACACAGAGATACAGATGTAGAGCCCCAACAACCCAGTGCTTAAGAGGGTAGGAGAAAGGAGAGATGAGAAGAAAGACTATTCTTCGAGCTAACTCCATTTCAAAGCCACCTGGGGCCAGGGGTGTAGCTCAGTGGTAGATCATGTGTCAAGCACCAAGTTCAAGCTCCACCATTTCAAAAAAGAAAGAAAGAAAAAGAAGGAGAAAGAAAGAAAGAAAACATACACAACATTCATACATTCACTACATATATTTTGAGTGCATATACTATTCCAGGTGTTGTTTGGGGCACTGATTTACATTAAAACTATTGTTTATTTTATTCATTTATTTTGAGACAAGGTCTCACTGTATAGCCCCGGCTGATCTGGAATTTGATTTATAGAGCAGGCTGGCCTGGAACTCACTTATATTTGCCCCCAGAGTGCTGGGATTAAAGGTGTGCACCACCACCACTCCTGGCTGTGTTTCTAAAATTCCTTTTTAATGGAAAGCTTTGAGGCTTCTAGCTTGGAATTTCACCAGGGGATTTCTTTGCTTTTACAGACGTCCTCCAGCTTTAGGTTTTTTGTCTTTTTGTTTTGGTTTGGTTTTCCTTTGTTTTTTTGAGCCTTGTCACTTTCAGGGCATTTAGGCTCCACCTAGGTTTCACATTACCAGGAAACAGACCTCAGACAGGATTTGTGAAGGGCAAGCTTCCAGGAAAGGTGTTTAACCTTGTTAGCCAGCCTCATTCCCCTGAGGCACCAGGAGGTTTCTCCTTAGCGTTAGCACCCAGGAGAGTGGGGCTTCTCCGGCCCATTCGGCTGAGGGGTGAAGGCTTCTTCCAGAAAGTACTTTCTCTCTGCTGCAGCAGCCCATGCACGACACTGACAAGCTAGGATCCTGTGAGGTTCGGACAGCATCTGCTCCAGGCCTCTGAGCTTCCCACTGGGTGCGTCCATTTCCTGGACATTAGAGACAGACTTCCCTTTCATAATAATAGTGATGATGATAAAAGAATTGATGCCACCCACAGAACCCCATCATCACCTTCCCCAAATACTAGTGTCACGGAGCAATCACTGTATCCACTTTGCAGACAGGAAAACTGAGGCATGGAGAAAGGCCTCATCAGGCCATCCTCACTTTATGTATGTAACAGATTATTAACTAACTCAAGGCTAGAAACACAGAGGAAGCGGCTTCAGCCTCGTTGAGGGAACTCTGCCACAGATCAAGGACCTTCCCACAGCCATTTCAGCCCAATTTTCAGCAGGGTCGGTATTATGCCACTGACTTTTATACTTTGAGCCAAACCAGATCTGTATTGGCCCGGTCATGGCAATGGCCCTGGGAGTCTGAGCTGGCCCCAGGAATTTGTAGGGAGGAGGGGGCAGGGGCACTCTCCCCCACCCCCCACTTCCACCCCCCTCACCCCCGCTCACCCTGTCTGATCCAAGCCTGTTCTGACTCCCTGGCTCACAGTGATCACCCTGCTCATCATCCTGAGGCGGCGGCTCCGGAAGCAGGCTCACGCACATAGCAAGAGCGCACTTGAGATTCACGAGCAATTGGTCACCTACGACGAGGAGGGAGGCGGCGAGATGGACACCACCAGTTACGACGTGTCGGTGCTCAACTCTGTACGCGGCGGCGGCACCACCAAGCCCCTGCGGTCCACCATGGACGCCCACCCGGCCGTGTATTCCGCAGTGCAGAAGCCGCCGCGGCTGGGGCCCGGGTCGCTTGGCGGGCCCAGGGAGATGGCCACCATGATCGAGGTGAAGAAAGACGAGGCAGACAATGACGGCGGTGGCCCCCCCTACGACACGCTGCACATCTACGGCTACGAGGGCTCAGAGTCCATCGCAGAGTCGCTCAGCTCCTTGACCACCAATTCCTCCGACTCTGACGTCGACTATGACTTCCTCAATGACTGGGGACCCAGGTTCAAGATGCTGGCGGAGCTGTACGGCTCAGATCCCCGGGATGAACTGATGATCATCTAAGGTGGCCAAGCTCTGGGCCAGGAGACCCAAATTCATTGCAGCCTCAATGAGACACATCTGAAACCACCTTCCCTGATTTCCAAGGAGTGGCACAAACTTTCTAGCCCAGCACCCCTTGCCTCTGGGTACCCAAGACCTTTCCATCGCCAAGGTAGCAAATTCCAGGTCCTTTTAATATCCAGGGACAGAGACATAGTTTGTTGATGGCCACTCCAAATGAGGCTAGTGTTTTGTCTGGGCTCCCACACTGTCCGGTCCTCCCGTACACCCCACCATACACGCTCTCAATCTGTTCTAGACTTCTGTCCCTTCAAAACTGCCAAGCAAAGCTACCTATGCTGAACTTTGAGGAGTCTTCCCCAAGGGTCCCTGAGCCCCTGGTAGGGCTGTCTGTCTGAAGGCAGAAGACTGGATGGCATGAGCTATGGGATAGGACTCTGAAGCCCAGTCCCAAGGGAGGCCGTAACTGATCCATTATGCCTGCTGTCTCAGGAGTCCCAGCACTGTTGTGCCTCCCTCTCATCTACCCAGTGCCCAACTGCCCCCCCCCGCCCCTCCCCAGGCCTGTCCAGGGAGGAAGGAGACTGTCGGCAGCTCCTGACCTTAGGTCCTAAGGTGATCTGGCAGGCCTGCAACTCCATTAACTGCTTTACTGAGCAATGATCCGTTCTGTCGACTTCAGGGAAACGGCTTGTTTAATTTGAAGCAACTGTGAATTCACCCAGGAAGGACCATGGAGACCAAGGGTGACAGGTCATAGAGCAAGGATAGCCTCCAACCCACTCACCAGGAAGATCCTGGGAAAGCTAAGAAGCCCACCTGACACTCAACCCTGCCCTGGTTGCCTGTGGGAGGCACCCGCTTGCCCGGTCACTCACACCCCCTTTTCTCTTACTATCTGCTTATATCTAGGAGCATCCAAGATGCAGCCTCAGCAAGCCTGGCTGATGTCCCAAATCAAACCTAACTGCATCACAGAGCCACCATGCCATTTGTCTTTTCCTCTAGTCGCCACATCTCAGGGAATGACCCCCGGGCACACCCTGCAGAATGTAAGCCCCCCACCCCCACCCTTCCCAGGAGCAGTGGCATCTCTGCATCTCTCCCTTGGAGGGATCTGAGTAGCTTTCCACTGAAGTCACAGCTGGAGGTCCAGGCAAGGCAGAACTGCACCTTCAGCTCACCCTCCATTGTGGACCCCTCCCCCAACAAGGCCTCTCTGCAGGGGATTGTAGATAGCACTGGAGTTTGTTTAACCAATAATTAGGTTTTCTTATTTTTTTTTTTACTAATAATACTTACAACTTTCTAGTTCTCACAAACGTAGAATAAGGGTTGTTTTTTTTTTTTCTTCATAATAAGCAGGTTGCTATTTAGGTTAGCAATTTTAATTCATGTTTTTTTAGTTGAATAAACAATTCCTGTAAGTTTTTATCTCCTGTTGTAGCGATTGCTGTAAGGATAATGACTATATATTAGTCACCCTGGTGCATGAGATGTACTGTACCTTTTTATATCTAAATAAAGACATCTTGAAATTCTTCCACTTCTAGAACTGAGAGCTCATATGAAACACATACACATGCATGCATGCAAATGCACACACGGTCACATACACACACATGCATACACATGTACACCTGCTGCCAGCCTCATCAGAGGAACTCAGAGGACAAGGGCACTTGTGAGTCACAAAGTGAATTATGGGCCTAGATAAGTGGCTCATTGGTTAAATGTGTGTATTACTCCTGCAGAAGACCCGAGTTCTGTTCCCAGCATCCGTGTTGGGCGGCTCACAACTACCTGTAACTCTAGCTTCAGGGCATCTGATGCCCTTTTCTGGCACTCAAGTGTGCACGTGTCTGTACACACATAATTAAAAATAAGTCTATTCTTTAAAAAAGAAAACTAATTGCGACAGAAAATGAGGAAGATCCAGTTCAGCTTTCTATCACTCAGGGCTCCCCCACCCCCATGCTCTGTGCATGCCCTACTCCCACACCTCCAGTCCATGCAGTGGTCAGGGCCGCTGCTTGGATGAGAGTGGGGGGGGGGGACGACGACACGACTTGAACACCATTTACATTCATCAAAGGAGCAGGCTCTTTTCTGGGCACATAGGGCACCTCACTTCCAAAGCATATGCCTGACCTTGTCAAAACCCTCTGCAGAAAAGCTTCCTCCTCGACTTTTGAGGGTCTGGTCAGCTCCCTGCTAGCTTTGGCCAAGATACCTTTCATGTTAAACAGCCACAGCCCGTGGAGACTGTCTCTGACGAGCTCAAAGCTTTGAGTTCTTGAGTTGCTCCAAATCAAGTCAAATGAACAAGGCCTTGCCAGAGAGGTTGTCCGGGGAACCCCCAGATAGCTCCGCGAGTCACCAGGGAACAGATTTGGAGATGCACAGCCCCCACCCCCACCCCCGTCGGGGGGGGGGTGCTCTTTCCATGGCCGCCAGTGTTCTCCAGTGGTGTTGTTCTCAGAAGCAGTGGTCCAAGCATCAAGGGGTGGGAGACAGACCTTGGCCGAGTTACACCACCACAGAGCTCACTGTCCTTAGCAGAATTTAGCCTTGATATTTTTCTTGACTAGATGCTCCCTGGTAGTTGTGTCATTTACTTCCAGACTTGCCAGTAACCTCATCGCTTCCATAGGAGAGGTGGTCTGCATTTTGCTGTTCCTGTGGATGTCACCTCCTCTGGCTCAGGGTTCCTACCTGTCTGGATAGCGCCTTTGTTCTAAATCAGCCTTCCAGGAGACCTCTCCCTAACTTCTTTTCCAAGAAGTACTCTCCCTCTAATCCCCCCTCCCCATTCCCCAATCTCCTCTAGATGAAGTCCTGACCCTCCATCAAGGTCTGACTTTCCTGGCCATTCTGGCCACCTCCTCTGCTTAGCTCCTATTCACTCTGAGTCACAAATAACTCCCAAGAAGGCCGAGGGCCACTTTGAGGCCCGAGACTTTCAGTGGATGTCAAGGTAGGGTACAAACCCAATGTTCTCTGGAATTGTCTGACTGCTTGCTCCAGTGGCCCTGGGCTCCCAGGCTGAGACAAGAGAAGCAATATCTCAGCCCAGCTACTCTCCAGGACAAAATCATGATGGCCCCGTGACTTTTATTTCACAGAAGACCAAGGTGAGACCCAAAGTGTGGTACGATGATACCAGAGCCATACAATAAGAGACCTAAGCCGGGCGGTGGTGGCACACGCCTTTAATCCCAGCACTAGGGAGGCAGAGGCAGGCGGATCTCTGTGAGTTCGAGGCCAGCCTGGGCTACCAAGTGAGTTCCAGGAAAGGCACAAAGCTACACAAGAGAAACTCTGTCTCGGAAAACCAAAAAAAAATAAAATAAAATAAGAGACCTAGTTAGGGCTAGAACTTGCCTCCTGGCTTCTTTCCTAACAGGAAGCACCAGGGCTCTGGCCATCGGGAAGTCAGGAAATTCCCACTAGGGGGCGCGCTGCATTTACAAATGCTGGGTCCTAACCAGTAGCCCAGTTTCAGCCACCCTAACTCAGATGGCAGGCCCTGGGAGTTCCTTGCTTTGACCAAGAGCTGTATTTAAAAGAGTGAACTCCAGGTCTAGCAGAACAACCTCAATGGCTCTCATCTGGAAAGGCAGGGACGCACTCCCACTCCCGGCCTAGAGCCAGGGTACCTGCAGCTTCCAGCAACCCAATGTCCTTGAGTTTATGAGCATCACAGTGTACCCCATCCCCCTTCTCTACCCTGTCACCTCTCTCCCACCCTTGGGGAATGTGTGTGTCAGTGTGCTCCCCACCCAACACACACACACACACACACACACACACACACACACACACACACACACACACACTCCAAGTTAATCTGGAGGGTTCCTTTGGGGCCAGAAACAATAAGTTCTGCTTACATGTCCTCGTTCTATGGCCTTGCAGGTCAAAAATCCTTACAAAGCCTGCTGTCCTTGAGGTGACACATGGAGCCACTGACTCCCACAATCAAAGTTCCAAGGCATCCAGCAAATCTCCCTTCCGAGGATCAGCCCATGAGACATGTACTGGGTATTAGGATCGTGTCCTTACTCCTCGGGGTTTTGCGTCTTACGTCACAGGGGGTGCTGGCAACTACGATTCACGGTGTGGTCATGCAATCTGCGCCTTAAAAAGCCAGACACCAACCCCGACCCTCTCTCTCTGCTCCCTGCTCCCTGCTCTGCTCCCACCATCTCTCCCTCCCCCAGCCCTGGCTCTCCCCCTTCCTATCCCCTCCTTCCTTCTAATAAAGCTCTCTGTAACTCTGGCTCGTGACTTTTCTGCTGGTAACCAGCACCGATTACCTATCACCAGGTATATCGACCTTGATCTTAAGGGCAGCGCCATTTACAAATCAAAACTGGAAACAGAGTCAATAGTCAACACTAAGAGGTTGGTTAGGTAGACCGTGGAAGGGCGGTGTGAGCAGAGGTTGGTGAGATGGCTGTTGCCCCTTCAGAGGACCTGGCTTTGGTTCCCAGCAGCCACCTGGCAGCTCACCACTGTCTGTAATTCCAGTTCCAGGAGATTTGATACCTTCTTCTCATCTCCATGGGCATCAGGCACACACAATGTTGCACATACTTACACATGGAACAAAAGTTCATACATATAAGAGAAAATAAATAAATCTTTAACAATAACAACAACCCAGCAGCCATTACAACCCATGAGATGGGCTTAAACTGAATTCAAAATTAAGTACATTACACTCAGGCCCCAGGGTTTTCCTCATAAATACCCAGGTTATGACATTCTGAGTAATTTCCAAGTTTTCTATTATCCACACACATTCTTAGAACCAGAGAAACATTTCCATGTTAATCCATAAAGTGACCAGACAGGAAGTATACAAAGTGGTGAATTGATCAGTTTTTCTCCATCAGTTTTAAACATTGAAAGACTTTGTTTTAAAACAAGTTTTCTAACTTTGCTACTGATGCAACAGAATTTTTAAAGTAAACTAAGTTGTGTGGGCTTTTGTTGCTGGAGAGCTTCTCTCCAGGTTC